TGCTTTTTTTATTTCATTTTATGCGGCCTCTCTTATCACAATACGCCGCAACTCATGCTGCATCCAACTCGCTCTTATCTTTTACTTTCATCCATGTTTACGTCGCCTTTATTTTCCATTCTGTTCTATTTCTCTCAGTACGTTTTCTCCATCGCTTCCATCCCATAAGTTCTCCATTAATTTTTCCCTATTGTTTGCTCCTAGTTTCCCCTTCCCGTATACTCTCGCTCTTCCTTGTCTTTCCTGTAAAAAAACTTGAACTACTGACAAATGTAATTCAACAGTAGTGTTTGTCATTAGAGTTATTGTGGGGAATGTAATTCACAACCTTTTCGATGGATGTAATCCATCGTACCTCAAATACTTTTGAATGTAATTCACCACCAAAAATAATCAAGACCTTAACAAATTTAATTTTTTTGTTTGTTTTGTTTTTATTATATTATTTATGTTTTTATATTAATTTTATTTACATATACATATATAAGTATGTATGTAGGGGAAAATCTTCAGAAGATTTTCTTCCTCACATCCTTCGAAAGCTTTGTGGATGCGTTTTGCAAGGTCTAATAGCTGAAAAGTTACACTCATTTGAATAAAACCCTGTATAACAAAAATGTAAAACTTTGACCCCCACTATGTCCGGCAGTTCTGGAACGATAGCGGTGAAAATTTGTATCTGGTCTACTATCCAATTTCATCAAAATCGGAATACATCGATTTTTAAAGTTGGGTCACTTGACACGAAATATGTATATTCTCTTTCAGAAAATTTGTTTAAATAAATATAAGTGAAAAAGGTATAATTTTGCATTTTAAAATAAATTTAGCATTTTTTTTTGCTTTTTTTGGATGGGATTTAGCTGCAAAATTTTTTAGAGACCTGGTCATTCTGTAAACAAGCAAATATAATCTGTACGATGTTGCTGTTTTCTGGTGGCTGCATGCAAAAATACCAATAAAACGAAATTTTTAGATGTTGTCTCAGATTTTTGCTTATATCTCCGTTATTTATGGACTGATTTTGCTATTTTTAATTAGAAGACTTCTCGAAAGCGTATCAGATAGAATTATTGAAGATTTAGATCCCAAAGATATCTGGGGTCTTCAGAAAATTGATTTCAACAGATGGACAGACAGACAGACTGATCCATGAATGTTAAAAACGGAATGACAAAAAAACTCAATTTACTATAAATTCACAATTTTACACCAGTATATGCAAGATTTTTTTTAGAATTCGTGAAAAAATTAACGGACTATTCGATTATACTGAACTAGCTATACCCAGTGTGCTTCGCTACCCTCATCGTAATGGAATAAAATAAATATCATTATTGTAAATGTATATATATCTGCAATATCAAAAATTCCCCTTTGAGAGAACTCTTTAAGTTTGATTTTATGATTCTAGTCTCAATATTACAGAAAATTAAAAAAAACAGTTGAAGAACGAAAAAGTACCAGACAGTGGCTTTTTATATATTTTCATTAAATCAGGATGACGCATAAAGATTTTTATACAATCAGGAAGCTACATGTCCAATTTTATGTTTTTAGGTTCAATATTATAGAAAATTCAAAAAGTATTAGTAAAAGAATAAAAAAGTACCAGAGTATCCTTTTTAAATTTTCGTTCAATTGGGATACTGCGTGTTTAATTTTATGTTTATATTAAATATTTTAGAAAGCTCTAAAAGTACCAATACCAGTGAAGTACGAAAAAGTACCAAAAAACCTATTTTATTTAATTTCATGTTCCTAAGTTCAATATTATAGAAAATTCAAAAAGTACCAGAAAATATTCCAGTTTAAATTTTCATTCACTCAAGTCCCTGATTGCTTTTATAGATTCTAATTAACTCCGGCTCCACATGCTTAATTTCATGTTTCTAGGATCAATATTATAAAAAACACAAAAAGTACCTTTTGAAGTACGAAAAAGTACCAAAAAGTGCCATTTTATAGGTTCTCACTTAATCCAGGCTCTAAACGCTTAATTTCATGTTTCTAGGTTCAATATTATAGAAAATTCAAAATGTACCTTTTAAAGAACGAAAAAGTACCAAAAAGTCCCCTTTTATAGGTCTCCACTTAATCCGGGCTCTACATGCTTAATTTCACGTTTCTAGGTTCAATATTATACAAAAATCCAAAAAGTACCTTTTAAAGAACGAAAAAGTTCCAAAAAGTCCCCTTTTATATGTTCTCACTTAATCCAGGCTCTACATACTTAATTTCATGTTTCTAGGTTCAATATATAAAAAATTCAAAAAGTACCTTTTGATGAACGAAAAGTCCCCTTTTATAGATTCTCATTTACTCCGGGCTCTACATGCTTAATTTCATGTTTCTAGGTTAAATTTTATAAAAAACTCAAAAAGTACCAGTCGAAGAACGAAAAAGTACCAAAAAGTCCCCTTTTATAGATTCTCATTTACTCCGGTCTCTACATGTTTAATTTCATGTTTCTAGGTTCAATATTATAGAAAATTCAAAAAGTACCTTTTGAAGAACGAAAAAGTACCAAAAAGTCCCCTTTTATAGATTCTTATTTACTCTGGGCTCTACATGCTTAATTTCATGTTTCTAGGTTAAATTTTATAGAAAACTCAAAAAGTACCAGTCGAAAGACGAAAAAGTACCAAAAAGTCCCCTTTTATAGATTCTCATTTACTAAGGACTCTACATGCTTAATTTCATGTTTCTATGTTAAATTTTATAGAAAAATCAAAAAGTACCAATCGAAGAACAAAAAAGTACCAAAAAGGTCCTCTTTTATAGTTTCCAATTTACTCCGGGCTCTATATGCTTAATTTCATGTTTTTAGGTTCAATTTTATAGAAAAATTAAAAAGTACCAGTCGAAGAACGAAAAAGTACCAAAAAGTCCCCTTTTATATATTCTCATTAACTAAGGCCTCCGCGTGCTTAATTTCATGTTTCTAGGTTTAATTTGATAGAAAACTCAAAAAGTACCAGTCGAAGGACGAAAAAGTACCAAAAAGTCCCCTTTTATAGATTCTCATTTACTAAGGGCTCTACATGCTTAATTTCATGTTTCTAGGTTAAATTTTATAGAAAACTCAAAAAGTACCAGTCGAAGGACGAAAAAGTACCAAAAAGTCCCCTTTTACAGATTCTCATTTACTAAGGGCTCTACATGCTTAATTTCATGTTTCTAGGTTAAATTTTATAGAAAACTCAAAAAGTACCAGTCGAAGGACGAAAAAGTACCAAAAAGTCCCCTATTATAGATTCTCATTTACTCTGGGCTCTACATGCTTAATTTCATGTTTCTAGGTTAAATTTTATAGAAAACTCAAAAAGTACCAGTCGAAAGACGAAAAAGTACCAAAAAGTCCCCTTTTATAGATTCTCATTTACTAAGGACTCTACATGCTTAATTTCATGTTTCTAGGTTAAATTTTATAGAAAACTCAAAAAGTACCAGTCGAAAGACGAAAAAGTACCAAATAGTCCCCTTTTATAGATTTTCATTTAATAAGGGCTCTACATGCTTAATTTCATGTTTCTAGGTTATATTTTATAGAAAACTCAAAAAGTACCAGTCGAAGGACGAAAAAGTACCAAATAGTCCCCTTTTATAGATTCTCATTTACTAAGGGCTCTACATGCTTAATTTTATGTTTCTAGGTTAAATTTTATAGAAAACTCAAAAAGTACCAGTCGAAGGACGAAAAAGTACCAAAAAGTCCCCTTTTATAGATTCTCATTAGCTAAGGCCTCCGCATGCTTAATTTCATGTTTCTAGGTTAAATTTTATAGAAAACTCAAAAAGTACCAGTCGAAGGACGAAAAAGTACCAAAAAGTCCCCTTTTATAGATTCTCATTTACTCCGGTCTCTACATATTTAATTTCATGTTTCTACGTTCCATATTATAGAAAATTCAAAAAGTACCTTTTGAAGAACGAAAAAGTACCAAAAAGTCCCATTTTATAGATTCTCATTTACTCCGAGCTTTACATGCTTAATTTCATGTTTCTAGCTTTAATTTTAAAGAAAACTCAAAAAAGTACCTGTGTAGAACGAAAAAGTAGCGAAAAGTCCCTTTATTATTAATTTCATGTTTCTATTTCAATATCATAGAAAACTCAAAAAGGACCAGTTGGAGAATGAAAAGTACCAAAAAATATCACTTGGTACCGGGGTTACATAACACCATTAGGATATTTAGTGTTTCTAAATTTAAAAATTTTATCTATATGAATAAAATCAAATTTCCCGTTTTTACCCCTTTTGGTACTTTTTTGCTCCCCATTAACGAAATAAAAATTCTATTCCAAAAAGTTGCAACATCGTAGTGGGAGCCCGTTATTATGTATTCATATGTATAAGTTAATAAACCAAAAACAATGTTTTATTAAAAAAGTACCAAAAATAGGTACAATTTTAACCCCTTAAACGTCCGAATATCCAAAAAGTACTAAATTCATATTTTTATTTTTTCGTTAAGTTATGAAGGAGTCAAAAATATTTTTTGAATGTGCACTGGTTTAAAAGATACATGGGGTGCGAAAAAAGTACCAAATACAGTTTTTACCCGTTTATTCCCTAAAGGGGCCAAATTTTAAAAAAGGACCAGACACCTGTCCGTTTATTTTTTAAATGAACGGCGATAAGCTTTAAACTGTTTTTGTATCTTTTCTAGTTTAGGAGATATAAGGTTACCGAATTTACCCGTTTTTACCCTTTTTTACCCCCTAAACATTCGAATTTCCAAAAATCCCGTCTTAGTGGATCTATTTGGCGGGAGACCAACCTCCTGTCCAAATTTCAGCTCTTTAGCTTCAACCGTTTAGGCTGTGCGATGATGAATCAGTCAGTGAATCAGTCAGTCAGTCAGTCAGTCAGTCAGTAACGTTAGAATTTTATATATATATAGATAACGTTTTGGCAGCATCTATTTCAATCTTGTTATATATATGGTATATGGCTCATGTGTATGATGTGGTTTAAAAATACATAGACTAATGGCTGAAAATTAGATATTTTTTTTATTTAAATTTTATTTAATAAATGACATACATATGTACATACTGTACTATTATTGTTTTGATTCAAACTATCCATAGAACACAACAAGGACTTTTTAATACAAAAATTACAGCCATATCCGAAAACAGAATTAATTTTAATTTGCCCCTTATCTGTATTACCCATCAGGAACAACTGCATTTTTCAACGGACATGTTTGGTATAGTGCTGTACATAAGTTTGTTATTGTTATCAAAATACAAAAGTGCAAGAGGACTCAACTTTTGTGGTGAACAGCACGGCTTAGCCGATGTCGTAAGCGATGTTATGTGAGTGTGTGTATACTTCTCCAAATAGCCGACATTACACTCTCCATTACAGAAGTATGCGTCAAAATGTTGAGGTGCAACAATAAAATTCCATCCGAAATTTGTGAAGTTAACTTTCAGGGGGTAGCGACAACAGCGCACTTCATTATCGCTTTCGCGACAGTCCAGCGCAGCATTTCGTTTGTAACGATTTTTTACTTTTGTCACAATTTCTATGTGCATTGTCTGGAAAATAAATATTAATTATTTTATAATTGGCAATTACACATACATTTTATTTTTTTTAGTAAAGAGGTACTTATTTATATTTAAGAGTGGTTATAAATAATTTTGTATTATAAGTTACTATATTTTCAAATTTCCCACGATCCCGGGAATTCCCGCCAAGAAAGAATTTTAAGAATATAGCAGCCATTTAAATACAATTTGGTATTATTTTTAAGATATTTATAGCTAGATACAAATAAAAAGGGGAAACAAATTAAATAAAAAGAAATTAATGGACACGATATATTTATTGTAAATAGCATTTTTTGTCAAAAATATTACATAAAACTGAGGAAAATATTGTGTGCGGGAATTTCCGCACAATTTCCCGGGAAATCGGGATTTTAAAATTTTGTGGAATGCCCGTGAAAAACACTAATTTACAAGAAAGTGAAGTAAGTATGTACTACGTAGAGCATTTCTAATAAGTGATAACATTAAAAAAATAAACTTATTTCCTGCTCCTTTTCATGGAAAAAGTTTGTGGAGAATCTTGTGTGGAGTGAAAATAATTTTAATTTAGAAATATGTATTTAGAAACTCTGAATCTAATCTTTGAATTTTGTATATTTGTACCCTTAATTTTGTGTGTTCTTTAAGCTACGTTCATAATGAGAGTACTCTAGCAAATTGTATCCGTTTCTTTTTATCAACAATATTTTAAATTTTACTATATCGTTTAAATTCACTCCAGGGTGGAGTACTCTATCATTGTAGCTTAAAAGGGACACATATGTACTTTAAGTGTGGTCTAGGAGTATTTCTTCAGATTTGTATTATGTTTCCAAATTGTATGGTTCATGTTTTTTTTGGCTGTGTTGCCTAGAAATTTGTTGTTATAATAAAGTGAATGTAAAAATATACATAACATCCAATCGTATCGCTCATTTACTACAAGACCGACACAAATAAAAAAATAATATTTTTGAATAATTTTTTAAATAACTTTCAAATAGATCGCCGGATTTGAGAAATGAAAACTTATCGATAATGTAGGTGTTAGTATGTTTCTCATCTGAACTTAAATTAAATTTTTACTTATCAAATATACGAGAAAAATTGGGTTTTAACGTTTACAAAACAAGCAAGAATTTATAGTCGGGCCAGGCCGACCATATGATACCCTACACCAGTGATTATGTTACAAATTTTGATTACTTCTTTAATAATTATTATAATAAAGCATTTTAATTTTTCCCTTAATTCATAAATATTTTAACATTTTGTTGACAAGAAAGCGATTTTTTAAAAGAATGGTAATATGAGTTTGGACGATTTTTTGAGTAATACAAGAACATTCAAAATATTTATGAGCTCAAAAGCCCTATTCGGTGGGTACTTTTGTACGGGGGCTATACGATTAATGGACCAATTGTTTTCTATGTCCACCATCAAAAAAGATGGGGGGGTATATTGGTTTTGTCATTCCGCTTGTAACACTTTGAAATATTGGTCATAGACCCACAAAAATATATATATTCTGGGTCCTTATTATAGCAATGAAATTTAACATAAGTAAGGCTCTTATGATCCAAAACCTTTCTACCACTTTTTAAGATCGGCCCATAATTGATCCTACCTCCCTATAAGGTCCCCTTCAGAAAATGACTATAACGATCATTACTTGCTTAAAAGTGCGAGTATAGCGATGCAATTCGAATCACATAAGTTTCATGCGAGCCAAAAACTTTATGTGGTTTGGTTAATAATTCCCCCATATAAGGTCCCCTTCAAAAAATGACTTTAACGATCATTGCTGGCTTAAAAATACTAGTATAGCTATGAAATTAGACATAAGTAAGTCTCTTATGATCCAAAGCCTATCTACCAAATTTTGTGTGGATCGGCCCATAATGCGATAAAATTCGACCCAAGTAAGTTCCTTGCGAACCAAAATCTCTTAACCAAATTTAATGTGGATCGGTCCATAATTGACCTTACCCCACTATAAGATCCCCTTCAGATAATTAATTTAATGCTCATTACTGGCTTAAAAGTACGAGTATAGAGATGAAATTCGACATAAGTAAGTTTCTTACGAGACCGAACCTCTCTACTGACTTTTATAAGAATCTGCATAGGATTGACCCCATATAAGCTTCCCTTCAGGAAATGCCTTTAGAGCTCATTACTGGCTTAAAAATACGAGAAAAGCTATGAAATTCGACATACATACATATGTATGTTTTATACGAGTTCAAATCTCTCTACCAAATTTATTGAGGATCGGTCCATAAGAAAATTACTTTAACGATCATTGCTGACTTAAAAATACGTGAACAATTATGAAATTTGATACCGAATTTCATGCAGAAAGTGTCGGGAAGAGATATTCGATGTGAAGATGTTTTATATGAATCAAAATCGGTCTAAAAAATTGTGAAAAAATTTATGAAAAACAGTTAATAATTAACCCCTGATGTTTATAGGGGAGCATTCCTTTTACGGCATGCGGTTTGATGGTGGGTATATGAGATTCGGCATAGCCGAATATAACACTCTCACTTGTTTCAATAGGCTTGTCCTTGGGTCAAAAGAAGAGCATGTGTCAAATTTCATCAAATTGTCTTAAAGGTTTACATGGACAGAAGGACCGGCATAGCTAAATCGATTCAGAAAGTGATTCAGTGCCGATTGGTATACCTTAAGGTGGGTGCAGGAGCAATATTTTTGGGTGTTACAAGCATCAGCACAAACGCATAATACCCTCTCCACTATAGTGTAGGGCAGGCATGGAAAATGGAAATTTTGAAATGGTACTGAACTCAAAGCAAAAAAGTATTTTTTCCAAAAACATTTTTATTAAAAAAATAAACAAAATAATTTCTTATTTATTTTAATTTTTATGGGAACGTCACGAAAGTGAAGTGACAAATCCTAATGATTTTTTTTATATTTACTCTAAATTGACCTCCGTTAAATGTAAAACTTTTGCTGGCCGTAAGGATTTTGTTTCTTTTTTGTATTGCATATCAAAACAAAACTTGGACACAACCTACGCCTCTTGCATTACATCTTTAAAAAAAATTAATAAATTAGAATAAAGTTTTACCTCACGGGCCGTTTATATTTCAATGATATGTACTGAACTAAATGAAATTGTTCAGATGATAATGTCCTTTTCCAATAAAATGGTTAAATTAAAAAACACTCTTTTCTAAATTCCCCATTATACACCAACTGAATACGTGTATACTTCCAATTTTAAATAAGACCAAGAACATATTTCTTAACATATTCAAACCAATTTACCAGGTCCCACATCTGAAATATTAAGTTCTTCTTTGAATGACTAAAATTTGAGACATAATATCACTAACACTAAACGAAATCTAGTGATCTTGTTTATTCTTTGCCCTCAATATGTGGACCAGATTTATTCAAAATTTAACATTTTCGGAAGAATTTGTAAGCTACATGCGATAGGAATGGATAATGGTTTCTTTGGGACATTTTAAGGGCATCTAAAAAATATGTATAGGTTTTTAAATCATATATAATTTTTATAATGTAACAATTTTGAAAAAAGATTTAACACATAGAAATGTCCTTGCAAAAGGACTTCAAAGTTTAAAGGACTTACAGTTTTAAACGAATATTTGAAATATTTATATGTCTTGTATGATGCTAATATTAGTATCAAATTAAAGCTGGGGAAATGTATCTATATTATATATTTGACTCATTCGAAAAATAAATTAAATTTAAAAAAGGTCTCATTTTCGAAACAAAAATTTTTAACTACTTTTTTGTGACAAATTTTCTTTAAGCTTCCATTTCTTTTTTAATCCTGATGAATTGAAATAAATAATATTAATTTGAAGCAGAGGTTCTCAGCTTCATTTGATATTAATAACAAATTTGTTATATAAATTTGGAATTCCATCTTTTGAAATCGTATGTCCTTTAAACTTTATGGTCCTTTTACAGGGGCATAAGAAAAATTGAGTATCTGTACACGCAGATTTTTTCATGTTTTAAAATGACTGTTGCCCGGTGTTATAGAGTATTACACAAAAATATGCATGTTTTGATTTACGAAAAATATAAAAGACGTTCATGTGACACGAAAAACTTAAATTTTTTCGATCAGTATTATTAGTAGGAAATTAGTACTAAAAATGAGACAGGGGTACTACGGTATTTTTGGGTATCTAAAAGTACTGAAAAAAGTACTAAAGTACTGAATATTCCATGCCTGGTGTAGGATATAATCACTCACACACCGAAAATAATAGACATTCAAAAAGATGGATAAAACTGCCCTGGCCAAAAACCTGGTTGAATTAAGAATACCTATTTCTTTATAATTTATTAATATAAGCTGTAGAAATAGCTAGTTTTATTTCAACCTAATGAGATTCATGTTTCTTTTTGGAAGTTGTATTATGACACAAGAAATAAGTTTGGGTTAAACTTTAGAAGACTTTACAATAAATAAATAAAAAGGTTTATTTTTAAATTTTATTTTCCAAGTCGGTACTCCTTACCGATTCTAAACGGCTATAATTTTTTTAATTTTTTCCCTTGAAAGTTCTAAATTTTTTTGGTTTGCTCTTTTATAGTTATGGAGTTATAGAAGTTCAAAAACTTAATACTTAACCTGCTGGGGAGGATATGAGCTGTTGAGATCCGGCCTTCTTCAAATGAGATAATTTTAAAGTAAAAATGGCTCTTGACCCAAAAGCTCATACCTACATAATACAAAATTCATTTGTTGAGAAATGCAAATAATTTACAATAACTTCAGAATTGTTAATAATTCTATAAATAAATTCAAATCCTATATACATATATATAAAACAGACTGTTTCTTTGTTTGTTTGTGTGTTTGTTTGTTACGCTTTCACGGCAAAACTACTGAACCGATTTACATGAAATTTGGAGCGCTAATAGGTCTAACCCCAAAAGGAACAATAGGCTATATAAGATCTTGATCGGATGCCGCGCCCCTTTTT